ACACACAATACAGCACTGCACACTGTTACACATGTGCAGAACACACAATTTTACATACTTGTATAGGTTAAAACCTGCTGGAGGAAGATCAAGATCCCATAATGCAACTCAACAGAAATAAATGAGGAAAAATAAAAATATGAGTCACGAAAAGCGTAAAGCTGCTAATGTGAGGATGTTTTACAGTGCACAGCATCTGATCCTCAGCGTATCCCACAATGCCCTGCGCTCTGTGTGATGAATGAATCAGCTGTGATTCACATCTCTCGCCTCATGATTTAATCGCGCTGATGAAAGGTCAGCTCTAATGCGCAGAATTCACACTGTTAGTGATTGAACATCAGATCAGCCTCACACCAATACTAACTCAGCTCAATCACAGAGGATCAGGCAAATGCCACACCGCTGCTGACATAACCCAGCGCAACCACGCACAGACATAATGATGCATCACTCTCCTGCTGTGTGCTCTTCATAACCAGTGGACATGATGTTTTAACAAAAGCAGAGTTCAACAATCAGAGAGTGGCCTGCGTGAGAGATGACAGTCATAACTGCGTCACGTGAGCAGCAGAAAGCAGCTGAATATCGAGAGAGGAAGGTCATGCGCACGGTGAGACGCAGCCGATGTTCACACACTTCAGTGTCACACGCATCCCATCACCTGTGTGTGTGTGTGTGTGTGTGTGTGTGTGTGTGTGTGTGTGTGTGTGTGTGTGTGTGTGTGTGTGTGTGTGTGTGTGTGTGTGTGTGTGTGTGTGTGTGTGTGTGTGTGTGTGTGTGTTTTGAAGCACCCGCTTCCTTGCGCAAAGCAACCGTACCTGGAAACACAGCTGATGTGATCGGTTGTGTTTGAGGCTTTCGCTTTGACCATTTATTGATTATTAATGAGCCTAATGTACACGTGATCCTTCATTATTGTACAGTTAACTGCTGATCTGGGACATAAGTATTTTACGTTTTGCCAGTTTAGTGGCTAATTCGTATGAATTCGTACGAGTTCAGTCGTATGAAATGGTACGATTTTAAAAAGGAGGCGTGGCACCTGACCCCACCCCTAACCCCAACCGTCATTGGGGATGAGCAAATCGTTCTAAATTGTACGAATTAGATCGTACGAATTCATACGAATTAGCCACTAAATGAAAAAGTTACGAATGCCGTGAGATTGTGTTGGACTGACTGCTGTAGTTTTAGCACTATAATTCTTTTTTTTTAATCTTAAATGTGTGTTTTTTTGTAGGATTGTTTTTAAATAAAAAGTGTGTGTATACAGCTATTCACTTGCTTTGACACATTATTTAAAATGTATGGCTAAGAAATCATTATTAATGTATAATTTTTGGCCAGGGAAGAATGAGTGAACTCCTCAGTGTTGAGCTCTGATGAAAAGTCTTGTGAAATCCAAACTAATTGCAGTGAAACACTTTGAAAGCACAACCCTGCTCATGCACACCGAGTACAGTCACAGAGAGAAAAGTCAACTGAGGAGGCATATGGACTTCACACAACATGTAAATCAAGCCATTTTACTTCATCAAGCTATTCTCAAGTCTTATTTATGCATATAAAGTATATTTTCAAAAAAAACAAATTGTGGCTTATGAAAATGGACTCCATAACATCGGAAAACTACTAGCAACAGTGGCTGCTGATCATAAAAGTTAAAGTCAAGCCCTGTATTCCTTACACTGTGGGGACCAAATGTCCCTGCAAGTATAGCAATACCAGTAAATTCTGAGTTTGTGTGTTAATTTTTTGGACTTTGCGAGGAAAACAGCTCATCAATCAGACAGAATTTAGTGTTTAAAGATGACTGTACAGGTGTCACGGTGGCAGAGTGGGTAGCATGATCGCCTCACAGCAAGAAGGTTGCTGGTTCGAGTCTCGGCTGGGTCAGTTGGTGTGTCTGTGTGGAGTTTGCATGTTCACCCCGTGTTGCCGTGGGTTTCCTCTGGGTGCTCCGGTTTCCCCCACAGTCAAAACTGGCTGTAATGTGTGTGTGTGTGTGTGAATGAGTGTGTATGGGTGTTTCCCAGTACTGGGTTGCAGCTGGAAGGGCTTCCGCTGTGTAAAACATATGCTAGAGTAGTTGGTGGTTCATTCCGCTGTGGCAACTCCTGATTAATAAAAGGACTAAAGCCAAAAAGAAAATGAATGAATGAATGAAGATAACTGTGTGTGTGTGTGTGTGTGTGTGTGTG